GTAATAGATTTCCTATAGTAGACAGTACTGCTTTAGCCAATTAGTTTATTTGAAAAGATGTATTCTATCATGTCCCCAAATCTATATGCCTAAATTGTTCTTTCACCAATTACTTGGGTGATTCCTTTACCCTTCATACATGCCAGCAGAATATATTACTGCTTTATAAATAAATAATAGGGAAATATATGCAATACATTTCTACAGTTTATTTACTGCTATGTATTTAGATGAGATTTGCTAGATATTCCTTGACAGGACAAAAACATTATATAGGATTATAAATATGTACCTAAAGAAAACAATAATTGAGGATATTAATACAATTTAGAATGCACTTACTGTCCTAAAGATTTGCAATTACTGCAGTAACTCATTATCACCTACATCACTTTCTTTTTAAGGTAGTATATACCTTTAATCATTTCTTAAATAAACCTGAGATACCAACTGGCTGTGTGTTTTCTAAAGACAATGTTATTTCACTATACTGAGCAGAGCAAAATCGAAACCCACTTATGAGACAATCTACAACTAAATTGGGTAATTGATCTTTTTTTTTTTTTTGCCAGAGCAATATAGCACATCAAACTAATAGGCACATTGTTACATTATTGTTGTTCACAAATTTTGGGCTGTATTTGACAATGAAGAGAGAAATATGGCTACAATTACCTTTTAATGGAGATTTATAAGCTTAGAAAAAGGAAGAGCGGCAGACATTTCTGGAGTCAGATATAAAATTATTTTTATTGCCAAAGTAAATTCTTGGATTCTCCAATTATATTTTAGGATGTGTAAAGCATTATATTTAGGACATCACTAGAATTTCAATGTTCCAACAAATTGTTACTTTAGAAATATATGTTTGCACTCTTCTGAAATATAGTTCCACTTTTTGCAAAGGAGGGGACAACTTCATACAGGAAAAATTACTGTTATCTGAAAAGTATTCAGTTAATGTTGCACATATCTGATGGACTACTTCAGAAATTAGGCAAAGTGACTCCAGATTCGCTCCCTAGGGGAATGGTCAAACCGGGTAACTGCTTCAATAAATGCTACTTGCATGGTAAGCAAAAAATCAGGATGATAAATATGTAATCTATGCAAGAGCATGTGTTAGGAACCGTCTAGCAACACATTCCAACAGCCAACCACCTTCCAACAGTCAACCAAATGTAACTGGGAAAAAGCAGGCCAGACCTCTAAAGATGTCTAAAGGTGGGTGCAGTGGCTATTAGCCAACCAAGGTTGTAACAAAAGAGGTTAGTAAGGGGACTGTAATCGGTGATAAGAAGCAAAACACAACATTGCCAAGACCCCCTTAATGAGGTTACGTAATTGCCCAACTGACAAACAGGAGCACCACAAGATCAATGGAGGCATAAAAGCACAGACCAAAAGTTACCTTAAGGTCATCTGAATGATGAATGGATAACAAGGAGGCGTGGACCCACAACTAACTCAAGCAAGTCATATGTTCTCTTAGTTGCCCAATCCTTAGTGCATGTGGGTGAAACTAAGACTGTGGTAATTGAATTGCAATAACTGCATAACAATTGTTTAAAGAGGGATCCAAATCGGAGAAGCTAATTATAACAAGTAGTTCTCATAGCTCCAATCTCGTTCCCCGCTCCTTAGCTCCCATGCAGGCCTCATTAGAGCTGCCTCCCAAGATCTGACCCATCGTAGCAATATGAATCGATGCCTTACCAGTTAGGACAGAGAAGGATGTATGTGTGTAACTGGACCAGTTGGCCTCTGCAATACCAGTATATTATGAGGACCTAATATTTTCAAAGGACCTTAAGCGCTTCCAGATCGTTTATATAACTCTATGCATGCGCAACTTAAAAGGATACCAGGGACATTGTGCAAGGCCTTCCATTTGTATTCTAGGGGTGGGTCTATAACCAAGTGATGTTATCAACAGCAGCGCAGGGTAAACCAGGACTAAATATTTAACATAAATCATAACAAAGCTAGACAGTAGGACAAAGAGTCAACATGGAACCCTAAATGTGTGAATAACATTCACATAAATGTATGTTAGAAAGCTTTAAAACTACATAAAGAAGTGTATTCTATACCGTTATAACGTAGTTGTAGCAAAGTTATGGATGAGTCAAAGATCTTTGATGGTGAGTTAGTGTACAGTGCTAGTATAGCATTCATAATGTATTGAATGGGACAAGACAGATTTGCCCCCTCTCGCCATTAATTTTTATTATGACATTGGAACCTCTAGTTAAAAAAATAAAAAAAGAACCAATGATTATGGGAGTGCCGTCCAAAATACGGAGATTAAATAATCTACCTGTCTACAGATGACATATTTCTAATACTCGTGAACCCAATCAAATCATTCCAGCAGTCTTTTCTCTCCTCAGCAACTATGGTAAAGCATCATTCTACAAAAACAATGCACCTCACACTGAGATTATGACTCTCCAGACTCTTTACACATCTGATTGGAGCAAGGCCGGACTGGGACAAAAATTCAGTTCGGGCAATTAAAGGCAGAGCAGCCCACTAGGAAGGTCGAGGCCAAAAAGGGGTCGTGTAATATCACAGCCATTGACACGCACTCCTCCTCCCCCGCCCAAATGAGTATGTTAATGTGACACTCCTCCACAGAATTAAGTGCTCTTGGATGAGGTAAATGCCATGCTTTATTTGGGAGGGGAGGGGATTTGTGCAACGTATGCATGCACTGCGTTTGCTGGCGACTTGTCTCTGGTGTCCTCAATAGTGGGATACTAGAGATCAAAACAGCTACAGGGCTGTTAAAGTGTGTTGTGCAAGTGTGGGGATGTTCTCTGGGTTCTTGTATGTGTTTGGAGGTTGTGTGTAGAGCAGACTGTTTGTTTTGTATTGTGTGTGTAAAGGGGTCTGTTTGTGGCACACTACATGTGGCTAGGGGCTGTAGTGTATGTGTGTTTCTGGGTTGTAAAGTGTGTGTGTGTTTATAGGGTCTGTGTAGTGTGTGGGCCTAGGGGATGTAGTGTGTGCATGTAAGGGCTGTACTGTGTGTTTGTGTGTGTGTATGTGAGGGTGTGTGTATATAGTGGTTGGATATGGGCTTAAATGATTAATAATTATTATTTTTTTTTTAAAAGAGTAAAATTAACAAAAATCCCATTTACTCCCCCTTATAACCTTGCATGGGGAAGAGGGAGCATTCAGATACCTGGTGGTCCAGCCGGCAGGTTATTTGGTCTGCACCTCCGCAGGGTACTGACCACGTCTCTCTCCCTCTCGCAAGTGCTGTTTTTTCAGAGCATTGCTGTGGGTTACCATGGCAACGATCTGATAATCTCCAAGCTCGTGAGAGGGAGACTTTTCGGCACACATGGAGGGTGTCTGGTAAACATCGACTCACTTCCCAATCTCCCATCTGGCCCATGATGAGACAGAACTCCATCTTGAGGCCAGTGCTGCCCTACATGGGCCGGCAGGAGAGATCTCTTGATCTTTCCTGCTAGCCTCAGCCCATGGCCATCGTGGCCCACCGGGCTCTTGCCAGGTTTGCCGATTGCCAGTCCAGGCCTGCATTGGAGACAAAAAAATCTAACTTACCGAGGAGTTCAATTGACATTACACTATCATTCCCTTACTCAAGAAAACCACTATTAATAAACTACAGACCATGCCCAAAAATTGGACAAACCGCGATTTATCATGGGTTGGTCGTATTCACTCCGTCAAGATGAGTGCGTTACCACTGATCTTAAATTTATTCAGCACCCTCCCAGTTCAACTACCTAAATCAATCCTACAAAGTCTACAACGAACTCTGAATGCCCACATTTGAAAAAAACACTCTCAAACAGTAGCCATGGTGACTATTAGAAGGGCTCCCTTGATAGGAAGTAAGGGAGGTCCGGATATCCCAACTTACCATGTGGCGTCTGTCTTAGTTTAAACATTGGCTACTACAACCGTAAACAAGGCTCCTCTATGGTGTAATTAAAAAGAGCATATTAACTCCATATACTGAAGCTCAGTTGTTATGGTCCCCGAAGCACCTATTCCAAATTTAGAAAATATGTTTACAATTTCACGGTCTGCCCTTAAGACCTAGAGACTATGGGTATTAAAACTTCTCAAACCATATTCTCAACTATATTTTGCACCACTTCATACGTTACAACTCTACACACCTGACCTTTATCTAAAACATTGGCATCAATCCGGCATTCTCAATGTACGCAACGTGTTACATAATGGTCAACTTATTCCTTTCCTAGAAATCAAGAACAAATGCTCTCTTCCGGGAAGAGAAATATTTACTTATCTCCACGTTAAATACATTCTCCAAACTCATATGTTTGACATTCCCACCAACCATAATCTTTCATTATTCCCTAAACTTTATCTTGGGACCAAAATACAAATGAAACCGCTCACCACATGCTACCATCTATTCATAAATTCCAATTCCAATCAGAAAACAACGTTCACTTGCCAATGGGAAAAAGAACTAGAGCAATCATTTCTGATAGCAGACAGGAATAAAGCTTTCGCAGCTATGTCAAATGTATTAAAGTGTATCTCCCACTGGGAAGCACGTAGAAAAGCATAATTTTTTTTTGAATTTGACAATTTTTATTCTTTTCCAAAGGGGGGCGGAGGAAGGGGTACAGAAGAGAAGAGGGGGAGGAGGGAGGGGGAAATATTTTTGCCTGGTACAATACTTTACAATACATTATAAGTTCCACAGTACATCGCAGGATTATACAATACTTTCAGTTGCCTTGCATTGGGTATCTCACATTTAAGACTGTGTAGGTCCGCAGTTGTGTGTTTAGCTATTCGGTAGTAGTGGTTTAGACTTGGTACTTTTGGTCTTTGGAATTCTTCTGTGAGTGCTGTCTCTGTAGGTGCGGCAGTGGCGGATGTGGTGGATGTGGGGTGGCTGTGGTCTGAGTAGGTTGTGGTAGGTGGGGGGGGAGAGGGTTGGATATGTGAGAGTAGGGTATAGGATTGCGCTGCGGGTATGTCAGTTGCTATCATGGATGTGTGTGTGTATGGTTTTGTCACTTGATTCCTTGTGAGCGTGTTGTCTGAGTGTGTTGCCTCCTTTCAGGGGAGTGTCTAGCTAATCGTGATGTTATTTTGTATATTTTGATTATCTGTCGGGTTCGTATATTTGTGCTTTTGTTCGTCCCATATGTTCCACGCTTCGAGCCAATAGGGCTTTCCTTGTTTTGATTTCCTTGCCATGAGTTCGTACGTTTTGTTGCATTCTATTACTTCTTTGCATTGGTTGATTGTGGGGGGTTAGTTTGCTTCCATTGTCTGCTGATAAGGGTGAGGGCTGCTATTACAATGTGATACACTAAGTAGCGTATGTGCATGTGTTGTGTCTGTGGGAGTAGGAGAAGTAGGAGCGTTTCTGGTGTGTTTGGTAGACACACTCCTGTGCAGTGTGTCGTCAGTGCTCTGATTTGGGACCAAAAGGGTCGAAGTGTTGGGCAGTGCCACCAAATATGTATCAAGGTTCCTTTGTCTGTTGCGCATCTCCAACATAGGTCTGATGTGTTCGAGGAACTATGTTTAAGTCTTGTGGGTACTAGGTACCATCTGTACAGGATCTTGCGGGATAGCTCCACGTGTGTCGTGGATAGTGTCATTCGTTTATTCGTACAGTAGATGGTTTGCCATTGTTCTGCGGTCAGCCGGTGACCTATGTCTTGTTCCCATACTTTTATAAAGGATGGTGGTTTGGTCAGTAGTCGTGTGTATTCTGAGGCATATATTGTGGAGATGATTTTTGTGGCGGGTTTAGTCTTTCTGCACATTTTAATAACTGTTGTCCAGTGTGTGTTTGGTGGTTGTATCATTTGTGGTGTTGGCTGGGCTAGCACCCACGATCTCAATTGCCTATAGGAGAAGGTTGCTGTGCCGGACAGTTGGAATTCTGTTCGAAGATCTGGCAGTGGCTTAAGTTTGTTGCCTTGCATTATTTGTGAGATGGTGTTCACCCCATGTCTTTTCCAAAGTCTATAGTTAAAATCTGGTATCAATACTTTGAACGCGTCCAGTGGGAGTGCTGGGGAGAGCGTTGCTGTGTCTCCCATTTTCTTGCGATATGTGTCCCAGATTGTAAGGGTCAGTGCGGTTGTGGGCAGTAGTTCGGTTGCTTTTGGCCTGTGGATTTTTGGTAGCCATGCTAGGAGTGGGAGAGATAACCCCTGTGCGTGGCTTTCTTCTATTTCGGCCCAGGCTGTGGGTTCTTGTCTGTGTGAGATAGTCACCAGGGGGGTTATGTGGGCAGCTCTGTAGTACCCCATGAGGTCGGGGAGTCCCATTCCGCCTTGGGTGGATGGTCTGTGCAGGGTTGTCTTAGCGACCCTCGGCTTTTTATAGTCCCAGATGTAGTTGTTTAAGATGGTCTGCAGCTCTAGTAGGTAACGTTTCGGGAGCTTGATCGGCAGGGTGCGGAATAGGTATTGAATTTTCGGTAAGATTACCATTTTCACCGCTGCTATACGGCCTGTCCATGAGATATATTTGCCTTTCCAGTTTTGTAGGATAGTTTGGATTTCTGCTTGTAGTTTGGCATAGTTTGCCTTATATAATGCATTCGCTTTGGGAGTGAAGTTGACCCCTAGAAACTTAATGTGGTCTCTCCTCCAGTCATATGTGAAGTTTAGCTTCAATGTTGTCAGGTCTGTGTGTGGAATATTTATGCCTAGTGCTAGGGTTTTTGCGATATTTAATTTGTAATAGGAGCAGTTACTGTAGTTGGAAAGGATTTTGTGAAAATTTGGCAGTGACACGCTTGGTTGTTCAAGGGTTAGGAGGATGTCGTCTGCAAATAGGGACATTTTGTGTTCCCGCCTTTTTACTGTGATGCCGTGTATGTCTGGGTGGTCTCGGATGAGTTGGGTAAGGGGTTCTAGCGCTAGGATATAGAGCAGTGGGGAGAGTGGACATCCCTGTCGGGAACCATTAGATATGGTGAACGGTTTGGATATAAATCCTCCATTTACTACTCGGGCGGTTGGTGACGAGTACAATGCTTTGACTAGCGATAGGAATTGGTCAGGGAAGCCGAATTTTTGTAGGACTGCTAGTAAGAAGGGCCAGTTTAGCCTATCAAAGGCTTTTTCTGCGTCCAACGATAACAGAATCCCAGGGTTCTTTTTAGTTTGCATCTCATATAGCAGGTTTAGGGTCTTTCTCGTGCCGTCTGCTCCCTGTCTGCCCCCTACAAACCCCACCTGGTCTCTTCCTATAATTGTGGGGATTATGTGTGTTAGTCTATTAGAGAAGATTTTTGCCAGTATCTTTATGTCCGTGTTCAAAAGGGAGATGGGCCGTAAGTTCTGGCATTTGGTCGGTGGTTTCCCTGGTTTGGGGAGAGTGGCAACATGTGCCATAAGCATCTCTGTTGGTAGTGTCCCCTGTTGTAGTGCGTGTTGGAAAACTCTTTGAAGATAGGGGGCTATGTTAGGGGCAAAACGTTTATAGTATAGGTTAGTCAGTCCGTCTGGGCCTGGAGATTTCCCTTTCGGGAGGGAGTTGATGGTGTCCGTTATTTCATCTATTGTGATGGGCTTCGTGAGAGTCGTTTGTTGTACGGTCGTAAGTATAGGTAATTTGACAGAAGTTAGAAATTCATCTATCTCCTGTTTTTTGGGTTGATGAAGTGTCTTGTCCAGGTTGAGGTTGTAGAGAGAGTGATAGTAGTCAGCCATACAGTCATTTATGTCTTGCGGGTTGTGGATTTTGTCTCCCGCATTGGTGGTCAGGAATGGGATTTTGGAGTTTGCCTGTTTCTGCCTGAGTACGTTAGCTAAGTGTTTCCCTGCCTTATTACCTTGGGTATAGGAGTTCAGTTTCAATTTTGTGAGGATGTGGGCCGTCTTTTCAAGCGCCTTGGTGTTGAGTTGATTAGTGAGGTCCTTGATGGTTTCCGCAGATGTGTCTGTCGGGTTCAGGAGGTGGGCCGTTGTGGTGTCTCTCAGTCTTCTGAGTAGATCTATGAATGTTTTGTTGCGTTGACGGTGGAGATATGAGGCTCGGCTAATCAACTGGCCCCGTAGGACTGTTTTATGAGCTTGCCAAATAGAAAGTATTGATGCTTCTTGGTTGTCATTTAGTTGAAAGTAATTTCTTAGGTCCTCCGTTAGTTTTGTTACATATGAGTCGTCGTATAGAAGCGTGTCATTTAGACGCCACGGTGGTTTTCCTCTGTGCTGGTATTGATTGTGCATTGTAAGGGTCACCGGCGCGTGGTCAGACCACACTATGTTTCCAATGGTGCAGTCTTCCACCTGTGAGAGCAAGGTGCCCGATATAAGTATATGGTCAATTCTGGAGTAGGTTTTATGTGTCTGTGATAGAAATGTGTATTCCCTTGCCAGTGGGTGTGTTGTTCTCCATATATCATATAACCCGTATTCTTGAATGAGCTTCACTAGCGCTTTGTTTGCGTTTTTCAATTTTACATGCCTGTTGGAGTCGCTAGGCGTTGTTGAGTCTATACGTGAGTCCATGGTGTGGTTGAGGTCTCCACATATAACCAATGGGGTTGTTACTTCTGTGGGTATATTCCTGAGGACTTTGTGCAGAAAATTGCGCTGTTGGTCGTTTGGACTATAAAGGCACACTAGTATGATTGGGTTATTATTTATTATACATTGCAGGATCACAAATCTGCCTTGGCTGTCCTTCTTGACCCTTAGTGTCTCTACTGTAAGGGATTTGTGTAGGAGAATAGAAGCTCCTTTGGATTTTGAAGTGTGTGTTGCATGATATTGCAGGGGGTAATCTCTTGCAGCAAACGTAGGAATGCGGTTGGTGACAAAGTGGGTTTCTTGCACACATACTATGTCTGCTTTGGTTCGTTTGAGCTCGTCCAGGAGTAGTCGCCTCTTGTGTGGGGTGTTTAGACCTTTAGTGTTGTGTGAGTAGATGATCATGGTGTGGGTAGCGTATGTGGTGTGTTACGTTGGTGGGGGTGTCGTTCCGTCAATGTCGGCGGAGTTGGTCTGCAGATGTTGTATAGCAGCTGACAGGGAGCTGGGGGTGAAGGGAAGCTAGGGGATGACAGGGTGTTGGGTTATATACAGGTGACCTGTAGGTCTAGCACTGTGGTCGTGCCGTGGGGGTTTGGAAGTAGATTTCCAATTGGGTGGCTAATTGGGCTCCAATATGTAGAACTATTTGGGGCCGAAACCGTTGTCATAGATAAGAACATAAACATTTGTAACAATTTCAAACAATTTCAAACAGAGGTCAGTATTTTTCCTTTTGTGGGAGGCGTGCAAGTATCTACTGAGTATACATTCATTGCCATATTGATGATTTAACAGTCATTTGCATTGTGTCTTACACGTGTGTTTTAAAAGCAGCTCTAGGTGCCGTGTGTCTATTAGTGGTGTGTGACGCTTTCCCTTAAGGGACATGTCGGTAGACACAGTACCTGCTTGTCAATAACATTGTGGGAGCCTTATGTGTCGTGCCCGGTTACGGTATTTCATACCGTTAAGGTGTTGCAATGCACCGTGTCCTGGGGGGGTAGTGTCAGACCTGCTCCCCGAGTCATATATTTAGCTACTTTCGGTGGTGTGTGGCGCCTGTTTTAAGTTTAGCTATGTTGCTTAATGCGGGTACATGGGCGGCCTACTATATACAGTTACTGTTGCCTGTTTGGGCGTTTTAATTATGATCTTATTGTGGTCCCAGTTTTACTTACAGTGCCGCTGCCATAGCTGTTCTAATTGGGTAAATCTCCTGGGCTTTTACTCGACCTTATTGTAGCCTCCCAGCCGTCATGCGTTAACATGGGTGTATGTGGTGTGATTCGCTGGCGAGTATTTGAGCCATAGTGGCCTTGTATGGGGGCTTTAGAGGTGCCTACGTGGTCGAGTGCAGGCCTTTTAGCATAGCATGTTATGTGTGGAGTACATGGGTGTGGTATCTGCGCCACTGGTGGCCCTTGGCGTTGCTCGGCCCGTGCGTGGGCCCCATATACATGACAATACATTTACATGATAACTATATACAGTTCAGGTATACTTGCAGTAAGCCTGCCTCTAGTAGCTGAGTAGTCTGTACGACCCTGCATGGTTTGTTCAGTCTTTGTTCATATTGCGGCTGGGCCTGGGGGAGTTGGACTTTGTTCCCATGGTGGAGTTATGGTCTAGGCCCCAACTGGCGAGCAGTTTCTTCCCTTCCTCCGGGGTCGAGATCTGCACCGTTTTCCCGTTTTTGGTGAGTATAAGTTTTGTGGGAAAACCCCACCTGTATCTGATGCCGTGGGTGCGTAGCTCCGTGGTGGTGTGGAGGAATTCCCTTCTGCGTCTGAGGGTGGCTGCGGAGATGTCCGCCATGATGCGTATTGTGGGGTAGTCCTCGTGTGGATCAGCCCTGCTCCGATGTGTCCGGAGGATAAGCTCTTTTATGTGGTAAAAGTGGACCCTCAGAAGGACATCGCGGGGTACAGAGTCGGGTAGTTGTTTTGGCTTGGGCACCCGGTGGACTCTGTCCACAAGGAGCATGTCCGTCGGTATGTCTGGGGCATATGCGCGAAGTAGGCCCTGTATGTAAATTGGCAGGTCATCCGTGAGGACGGTCTCCGGTACGCCGCGCAGTCTCAGGTTATTGCGCCGAGCTCTGTCTTCTTGGTCCGCTACTCGGGCTTCCACATGTTCCATTTGGCATTGCAGAGCCTTTAGTTGTTGAGTTAGGTCCTCTTGCGCCGATGATAGGTCTGTGCAGTGTTGCTCCACAGAGGTGGTCCTTATAGAGAGATCCCTCACCTCTCGTTTAATCTGTTCCGCGGTCGTTTGCCATGTGGTTATCAATTTAGTTGCCATGCCCTCTATGGCTTTTTCAAAGAAGCCTTTTGTGAGGTATTCTGCAGGTTGTAGTGTTTCAGGGTCCGTGTGCGGCATCGTGGTGTCGGAGTCCTCCGCGCCATCTTGTGCAGCCGCCCCCCTTGTAGTTTCACTCATGGGTTGCAGTTTTTGTCCGAAAAAGCTCATTTTTTCTGCCTTAGCAGCAGATTTCTTTGTTTTAGCGTTTGCCATCGTTTTGTAGGTTTCTTAACGGTTTCAGCGATGTTTTGGAGCAGGTTATAGGGAGCCCATGTGCCGGAGCGAGTTTTCTGAGCAGCCATCTCGTTCGGCGGTTAGCCACGCCCCCGAAAAGCATTATTTTGATGGTACTTAACTCCCAAAGGACTACACCACATATATCCCGCGACAACAAGCGAATGTTGGAGATGCCAGGCTCAAGAGGACTCTATGCTTCATATATTCTGGAGCTGCGGAAATTAAAAAAATACTAGTCAAATATTCAAGACATTTTGCAGAAATTGCTAAAAACTACCTTACCGCTCCTACCCCAAGTATAACTCCTAGACATGCTGCCAAACTCACTGATACAGCAGAAAAAAATATTGTGAAACATTGGAAATAAGGTGAGAGTCTGCAAATTTCCAAGTCACTAGTGCACGCAAATCAACAAAACTTCTTTAAACACAGATGAAATGAAACACAGGTGCATAGGGAAAACACTACAATAAATAATCCAAAACACTACCCTTGGCTAGGGCAGATCCCCCCGGGGTCTCTGTTCCCTCTTTATCCCCCACCTACCTATCTTTGTACCCTCTCTTTTCTCCTTTTTTGTCTATTCTTTATCTTTGGTTTTCCCGTCTCTCAGTTAGCAAATGATGTGGTTTACTGAAAATAGAAATTATCAAATAATATGTACATATTGTACCTCCAGCATAACAACAATGAAACATTGCTACAATATGGATTGTATGCTACATTACAAATAAAAGATCGTCCTAAAAAAAATGTTACGATAATAATTTCTCTTTCTCTATTGATAAAATGCTGTTAAAATAGAATGTAACCTCCCTGCTTTTACACTGAAACAAACAATGTATGTAAAAAAAATTAAAAATATTCAATAAAGATTATAAATTTAAAAAAAAAAGTTATGGATGAGTATCTCTGAGTGGGAGTTATATACCTGGCAGCAGGGTGGTATTTCAATGCAGGATGGAGGCAATCTCCTGGTGTCACCTAATGGCGAGAGCTATAAGAAATTGAAAATGAGATCACTCATGCAGTATAAGTGGCAAGAAAAAACCCTGCATGCCTTCCATCTCCACCTAAAAGACAGGTATATATCCATGTTATACCTGTAATATTTATAGGCATAGTACAAATGTTGTACTGAGGTGGATGGTGCGAATGGCAACTTACACAGTTGGCTTAGATTAACACAGTGAGGACAGATGTGGCAGTGTATGGTATGGAGTATGGGATCCTGGTTTCTTATGCCAACCCATAAGTGTCAGAGATTGCATAAGGGGCTGCTATTGTTGGCCAAAACATGCAGAGCTAAGTTTTCACGTGGCCATCTTGGTCAACTTCGAAGACATGCTACCCAACTTGTCCATTGTCTGGATTAGCTGCTTTGCAATTTAATCATGTGGTGTAACAGAAATGGGATTCCCCATCAATTGCCCAAATTTTAGACATATTGTTATTTCGGAGAACAGTGACAACTCTGCTTGGGGTACAGCAGGCAGGGGGTGAAGTTGAGGAGAGACATACTCACCTGAGACTCTCCCACACAGGTGCTGCCAACTTCTTTATCCAGCTCCTGGGATCTCATTTTGTTTGTATGCCACAGTACAACACTGTGGTCCATAGGGGTTCTCAGAAGACTGTGGCATCCTCAGCGCAGCTCTCACAGTGTATGAGAAGGTGACCATTATCTGCCTACAGCAATAGCTATGGGAACTGGCAACAACTTCAGAGTTGACCATAACACAAAGTGGTCTTTACATTGTCTTATGGTATATTTTCAATGAAATTCCAACACATTAGAGTAGTCATTAAAGCAGAAAAGGCATGTTGATATATATATATATAGATATATATATATATATATATCTATATATATATATATCATATAATATTACATTGTAAACGACACTCCTAAAGCCATGTGCCCTGTGTTAGTTTTGGTTCAATCTCTTTCCCCTCTCCCTGTCTGAACTGACCATAGGTCAGTTGTAGGATATTTCCATATCGTCACTTTTATCTAAATGTTATGTGAATAAACCCTAATTTCTCTAATCGGCAGCAGTTTACGGAAATCACCACAAGTATAAATCCCCAGTCTCTTCCAAGTCTGAGCAGAACTTACTGCAAAGTCTTGTGATTATTTAGAACATGGTTCGTCAACCTGGTCCCTACCGCCCACTAGTGGGCATTTCAGGATTCCAGGTGGACGGTATGAATCTCCTCATTTTGAGAGATTGAGTCAGCGGTACCCCTGCGACCGGGTACCCACCATCACCATTTGCGGCCCCGGCCCGTGCGGCAAACCGCCAAGGCCGCCGTTAAGGGAGTTCATCGGGTGGCCCATGCTGTCAGGGCCACCCGATGGTTATGGATTGTAAGGGGGCCCGGTCGGCGCTAGGCGCTTTAACAGCACGACCGGGCCCCCTGTGATTACATAGAACCACTCACATATTTCTGAGCTAATATCGGTCGTTATATCGATGACATTTTCTTTATTTGGAAAGGAGGAGTTCTAATAAACAAAAATATTAATTCCTTTTCTACAGAATAATGTATAAATGGTTCACAAATAAGAACAAAATAATAAATAAGTATAAATAAAATACTATATAAAAATAAAAAATAATAAAAATACGATAAAATATAATTGATCAATGTATTTTTCGGAGAGATAAATTCATTTATATTGAGAACTTACACAGAGATTTGTTTATAAATCATTCTTGATACATAATTGACATATCTGTAATGATATACAAATGTATCTTCATATGTACATTGTTGCAAGAAGGTATAGAAACAGCTGAACCTTTGTGCTTTTGAAAAAGATATGGTGATAAATAGATATTGGAGTGTAAAGTATACTGGAGAAATGCATTATATTTATAATAGAGATTTTAAATAATACTGTTAAGTTTTAAGGAGTTTAGGGAATTTAGACATTATTTTATTATGATTATGTATTTCTGAATATTTGTACAGAGTCCCTTTTTTTTCCCTTTTTTTCGGTTTTGGGATCAATGGTTGTACTCCTAAGAACACTCGATAAGAGAGATCGAGGTTCTAGTGTAGGAGGAGACTACAGGGTTAACGAAAACATTGACGTATGCGGAAGTGAACCGCAATGAGAGAGAGGCTTGGAACACAAACACAGTGGCTGCCGAGAAAGAAGCAACATCAGCGCGCCTAAAGACAGTGGAACGCCGTGCTTGCAATCATGAAAAAAGTATATAGCAGGACTCCGAGTAGGAGGAAGAAGGTATTGTACTTTCCACCCAGCTGAGGAAGCCGATAGAAATTTGTCGAAACGCGCCCTGGGGACTTTTTATACATCACCTTTATGCCCTTTTTAAATATATTTGTATATATTGCATTTTTATAGATTCTAATTGGCCATTAGAATTCTAAATTTATATTCTTACAATAAAATATTTGATTTTACATTACTGGGCTATTGGTTCCTGCTATATAGGAGTGTAGTCCTTAACTACACAACGTGCTGGAAAAGAGCCTTAAGATTTGCTCCATACTTGTGAGTACATACATTTTTGATCTACATGATACTGGTTTCAAACCATATTGCACCATATGTTCTCTCTGCTTGAGCCCTAGTTACATCGTGGGAAAGGAGTTGCACTAAAGAAGGGGAAAGGTCACCTTCACAGACCTGAGAGCATTTATCCCTGAGCTTGGTTGATTAACTCAGAAATATGTGAGTGGTTCTATATAGAGTTATATTAAATATATTGGATTACAGTCTCACACTATGAGAATTAAAAAAAAAGAATTTCAGGGCATTATTTCAATACTGTGGCCCCTTTTTTGGGAGTGACAGCCATTCAGACTTTGGATGATTTTATATCTGTATGTAGCGCTACACCTTTTTTGTATTTGTCTTGTGATTTGTGTATGAGGAAAGATTACACGTAGTGGTATAGCAGCAATTATATGTCCATTTACTTAACACTTTGTTAACTTAATAGAGCGCCAGTATATAGTTTTATCATATCCCCTGTGATTACATCACAGAGCTGGGAGGAAGTGACTGCACGTCACTCCTCCCAGCTAACACACAGACTGCGCGGGAGGAAGCAGAGGGAGTCTCTCAAGGGTTTAAACTATAACAGAACAATAATTGGTTTCACCAACCTAGTGCCTTTGTCATATCTCTGCACTCCACACTCAGTTAGCATGTGGCTTCCATTCCTTTCTGCACTCCCAGTACTCCAAGCCAGCCTTGACTGCTTCCTTCTGCACTCCCAGTGCTCCAAGCCAGCCTT